GCAGAATCAGTAAAATACGGCTTATAGGTGATGCAATATGGTACTAAATTCAGTATTCTCCCCCAGCAGAACATTCAAGAGTACCTGTAGTGTATACTATTATTAGTGTATGAAAGATGTGTTATTTTTCCAAAATATCAAGCATCACATTTTTAATTTTTGAAAGGCCTGGGTAGAACAGAGTAGCTTGGAATCTGTGGACCTTTCCGTTCGATTGCTGGTGCAAAATATTACCCATTTTACACATTATTTCAAATTAAAATCATTCTAATAACATGCCTCAGTGGTTTTAGGAGAGCTATTTTTCTCTCTCCTGCCATTTTCAAAAGGCAAAGCCCAAGAGCATGCTGTTGTTGGACAGAACTCAACTGCTATAGGATATACTTACTTTCGTGACATACTCCGTGTCGAAAATCTTGTACGCTTTCCAGTCCTGGATAGCGTCTGTTATAATTAATGGTATGTATGCAAGTAAGAAAGTTTGCGCCATATCATCATGGGTCAACTCTTCCTCTCTTTCTATCTCATCAATATCAGCACACCCCTGAAATAAACCTCAATAATTATTGGCCAGTCCCTGAAGTACATATCAATATCGCACCACAGAATCACCCGAAACAGACTTGTCTAATAATGATTTTACATCCAAAGTATTGTCAATTTAGCAACAATAACAGAGCTGATTTCTTGTACAAGGTACAGAGTGTTGTTGATTTCTGTTGCAATCCCAGGTATGTTTCATGTACATATCCATTCTTGATGCGAGGTCACTTTAGTCACTCTGAATGATCTCTTACCTGGTAATACATGTATCTACATTACAACCATCTATGGCAAGGACAGGTTCTATAGTCTCAGGGAATGAAATTTAAATTTAAAGTCGCCTTTCCTTTGGACTGGTTAAAAAATAAAAATGTCTGTCCCAACTGATGATGTACCTGCCCTGCAATTTTTTGGACAGTTAGTGAAAATTTTCTATTTCTAATTTCAAAAATCTGCCTGGGACAGGTGGACAGGCTTAAATCATGACTCTTGATGTCATTTAGATGATGGAAACAAGGACATCCAAGTTTCAATCAATCACCGACTACATGCTGGGGTTCTCTGCAACTATGAGATGTGCATCTAATAAAAGGAATTATACCTGCATACACATGTAATGACATCATCCATTTTGTCATTCCCCAAAAACAACACAAACTCAGTACAATGAGATTATGACATTATGTTATCTACGGATTCTCAAGAACAATGACATATGGTCATAATGTCTGTGAGTTTGTGTTGTCACATCAACAACAGTTTAGTAGCCAGAAACAATAGCCAAGTTTATACATGTACATGCTTTTAGCACATGCTGATAAAGGTGTCAATCTTTGAAGGTGGCAGAAAGATTACTGTCTTTGCATTCAGAGAGATGATATAGATATTAATATGTATTTTGTTCTTACTTCGCAATCGGATTTTGACAAACGTTCTTCCTGATAAAAAGGATTGTTAACAATACAGTTGTCATCAAACCAATGAGTCCAGTCCCAATAAGGCAAAGTCTGTAAAAACATTATAAACAAAGACAATTACAAAAATGGATATACCATGGAGGTAATTGAAGTAACAATAAGGAGTATTAATCTACAAATTTAACTAATCAGGTGCCAAAGTCAATCGCATAAATCAGCAATGGATTGAACATTGTGGAAGATTCATTGTTCATGAGTTCTTCAAAAGTTCTGTTGATTGAGATTCCTATTGTGTTCACTAATCCATTGAGTAGCCATGACAGTGTTCAATCTGCTGCAAAACTATCTCCAAATCAGAGGTACAGTGTTTGCTCTACATCAAAAGCAAATCTTCAATAGAAATGCATTGTAGGCCAACAGTTTCTTTCATTGTATACAAACTGTAATATTAAAATATGACTTATCTTGAAAATTAATAACACACCTGCTATTAATGCTAGACAAATTATTAATTTTCGCAAAAATAGATACAACTATATTATGATCGGAATGTGAACACCTCATTCACAAAACTACTATTTATCAGCCTGGGTTGTTAATATCCTGTAAATGTGATTTTGTATTACACGTATGCTTAGTGGCTGAAATGGTATAGCACAAGTTACACAACCTTATTCGTTTGGGAAAAAAGTTCCTTTTGTACCCCATCCCCTAATCTTAACTTTAACCCCCCCCCCGAGTGCCCACCCCACCCCCTATACATGTAGGTGTCCCTGGGAGAGGCATGTACACTGGAGGGAAGGGGTACCCTTTCCGACGGACTGACTGTACCTGAAGTTGCATTTGTCTTGCACCAACACGAATCATGTTGTAGGCTGGGTCATATTTATACAAAAAGAACCCAACTGATAAAATAAGAACCAGTTTAAGCACTTTTGATAAACACTTCTTCCGATTAGCCGTGGTCAGAAAATCGAGGAGCGGACTGGCACAGCTTTCAATCTCTCCTTGACTGTAACCAGACTGCAAGCAAAAGCTACGCAGCAAAAGGATCTCTTGATCAATCAGCTGAATTTTTTCCTTGAGTGACATCTCTTTCTGTTCTTCCGTAACATTTTGGATATCAGGCATTTCATTTTGGTCATACTGAGTCTGAGTGCTTTGGGAAGAACCCTGGGTGTAACGCTTCCTCATCTCAGCCATTTTGCTAATGAAATTAATAAAGTAAGGTCATGTGATTATCACATGACTCGAACGAACCAATTAAAAGTCAATTTTTCACCCGGAAGTAATTGTTGACAGGTTGACATCCGGGTGAGCGTCTACCATCTTTGCTACGGTAAGTTTGTCCGGGCTCCAACAATTTTGGCTGATTTATTGGTAAAATGGCAAGGGAACGTACCAAAATTGTGCACACTGCAAATAAGAATTATTGCCGAAGATGCATGTCGAAAATCACAAACATAGAAATGTTCTATGTGCGAGAAACGGGCTCGATTTCCTTTACATAAATGAATGGGTTCGAACAGCGTCTATGATTATGATATAGGCTACGTTTCTCACGCGCAGTGGTTCCATTAACTAATTAGTGCTGTCACCCTAGTTGTGTACTAGAAAGTGGATACGAGTTTGTTTTGCTTAATCGGTACTCGCATATGGATTGTGAGTAGAATCTATGTGTCAGATGCACAAGTTTCTGAATATACAGATCACATTGCCAAATGTTGTGATGATATGTCGCATCATGTTTGTAATGTACACCACTCGCATTGACCTATGACTTCACCAAACTTTATTTTGTACATTTCTTTAGAGCAGCAAACCACAAGATCACTATGGCGACCAAGAGACCAGCAAGTGAGATGGAACAGTCTACATCCTCTTCAACACCTCCAACGAAGAAGACATTATTTGACCCTGTGCAGTTGGGATCTGTATCATCCCAGGTAAACAGTCGCATACACCTCAGACTAGTAATACAATTACTAGTCTGAGCATACACACTGCAGACAGGGTTCATAATTTATGAATGCTCTGAATTCTTAGATACCTCTTTTGACTAACCTGGTGTTCTTCAAATATCATATTCACATCTGTTTGTTTATTTCTTTTAGCCAATATAACTTACATTGGCGTAAAAGGGATCAAGTATAGTTTAAGGCCACTTGAAGAGGGGGGGTATGATCAGCACTCAAAAAAGTATTACATATTACTCATACCTGCTTAAAAACAGATGTGATTGCATTGCATTTTCATAAAGGGGCTTGATTATGGTAGAATTAAATAGGGCCCCCTTGGAAAGGACTAGCACGGTGATGATTTGGCATCAAGTGATGTAAATGCAGATTCTAAACAGAATTTGAGTGCCACAGTAAACTTGCATTATGTGAACGGAAGATTACATGAGTTCGTTTTAATTACCGGGAACAACTTGCACAGATGTAATTACAACATGAGAATATGGTAATAACAGTTCGGACATTTATTAGTTCTATGGCGTCTTGAGTGAGATTGACCTTGAAATAGGGTCAGTGTTCTCCCCAGACTCTAAGCCAAGCATCGCGGCTAATTTACATAACAATACATCTTATTTGCATAATTTTGTTTGCATAATAATTAGTTTCCCCAACAAACATTATAACTGAAATAAAGAAGAGATACATATCTCATATATTTTTTATCATTTACATTCATTGTGTTTTATGTGTGCATCGAGTCAAATAAAGTTTGAAATAGAACAGGAAAGAAATGGAAATACTTATAGCCAGTCAGTAAATGTATTGTTTATCCGTGGAGGTAACTGGTTCATCATTATTTTGTGTGCAAGTGCAGTCAGTTTTAGTGCCAATGTTACTGTCAGTTCATACGACGGGGGGGTGGGGGTGGGGGTATTTGTTTGTTAAATTTGTAAAATCTGTATGAAGAAATTAATAAATCAATAATGACGCCTTAGAGTGGCGTTCCTCGGTAATGACGCACTATGAATGAGGTATTTCTAGAGGTCAGGGTTCGTTTTTTCCTTGTCCGCCTCGTCTGCAGTTGAAAAATTTTTACTTCGATTTATTTACAGTTTTTTTTTTAGATGCGACTTAATTTCACTTGTTTTTTTAATTCTTGGTAATTAGTGTCACTGGCGATGAAGTAGTAAGAACGCAATTAATCGCAGTGCAGCAACTCGGGATAGACTATCCCGACGCAATGGGCAAATTATTACTACCTTAGTATTTTGGGGTTTGCCAGCTCCGCACCCTTGATAGACTTGGTAACTTCTTGTAGACTTCCGTTTTTATCACTGTTTTTGTAAGGCTAACTATGTACAAAGGCGGGATTACCTTTCAATCAATACATGTTATTGTTTTAAAGATGTGCTAGACGAGGCTGACACTTGTAAACAATACAACGTGAATAAGCATCGCGGGCAGGATTTCATGGATCGCGGGCGAAACAAAAGCGACGCGGCTGTTTGTCTAAGCGACGCGGGCCCGCAGTGCTTGAAAGGCCTGGGGAGAACACTGAGGGTGCTACAAAATATAATTTCAAACCCTAGACAGGCAATGTAGAAGATAATATTGCAACTGGAATCCCATCAGTCTTTGCTTTATTATAGAAGCATCATCTCAAACGTACATAATGCAAAAAAAAAAAAACATATTATATTGGGTCATTCAAATATGACCTTAAACACATCTTTTGTCATTTCTGTTTACGAGTATATGTGGATCTAATAATTTCTGTATATTGTTTGCACAACAGTGTAGGTAAACAATCAGTCATGTTAATATTTTTTAAAACTGAATGTTATTTTTACAAGGTTCTCCCCAGGGCACTATAGAGCAGGGATTCCCAACTAGATAAACAATGAATCCAATTTAGCATTACAATGAATGCATTAGCGATTATTAATGTATTCCATTGAAATTCTTTGCTATTTTTCTGGGTTTCTACATTGTAGAGCCTAGTTATAATTGTGCAGCAAATACAAGTTTATTGAGGGTTATAATGTGTTAATTATCTGTGTACAGTTTGAATATATGAAAGTGTAGCAACATTTATTTGTTCTGGTTAATTATCAAGTCTGAAAAACAATTAACAGTACAGTACTTTCAGATCTATAAGCTTTAAATAAATATTAGCACAGGCCAAGATCTTGTAATGTGAACATAGCCAAGCTTGTGAAACATTTAATTTTAGATTAGATTTTGAAATGTGTACAGCTTAGTCTTAATCTTATACTTTCTGATGCCTAGTCCATATATATTAACAATATTGTACTGGATGTGTGAGAAAGCAAAGCAAATGAAAAAGGATTTTAAAAAGGATATTGTATTGTTTGATAAATCTCTCTTGACACAAATGACCATTTTTATTTGAGTGGGCAGCAGTACCACAACATGTCTAAGTTTTTGTATTGTATGAACTACATGGCAGCTAGGTGCCACTAAACACAGCAAGGCTTTCACCTGAACTCAATCAATGTAAACATGAATGGAACAGATTAGTCATCAGAGGGGAACTGAAACCGACTAAGATAAACCCAATTTGTGACATAACTGTCACATGACGTAACTTACAGATGTGTTCACTGCGAAGTCCCGCATTATGCACAAAATAAAAACTGGACAAACAAAAGTTATAGTGGCATCAAATTATCAAGTGAGATTTGACAACCTCGAAGGCACTTTGAAAAATCACCTATTGAATTAACATCTTTGATTGAATGATCAGTTGTTCCAGAACAGGTTGACCCTGTGTCATGATTTTGGGCACAAGACCAAAGCTTGCCTTTGAATTTATGATTGGATCTACTGGGTGTACCTATTATTCTAACAATGAATTTGTATCATTTAGGGGGGGGGGGGCAGATAATCAGATCATATTATCAGAATAAAAGTCTTGTTTGTAATTTGGGCGGATTTGAGTACTGTCCACAAAACTTCACCACTGGTGTTGTGCTTAACCTGAATGCTGTTGCTGGATCAAATTAATTAATTAAGCTTTAACAGTATACTATATAATAATTATCTGAGAACAATGTTTCCATGCATGTATTGTAGTATAATAACCTATGCCCTTCTAATGTATTAAAGTCTGGATTCAAAATTAACAAAATTTCTCAGAAGTCGGCTGGGCTAACGTTCTTATTGTGATATTGGGAACTCATACAATGTATGCTTGTAGTTTTCAAGACAAAATGGTTTATTTAAAAAAAATTTAAGTGTACGTCTGCAAATAATTCCACACACAATGCAAATGGAGACTTATGGTTTGACCGTCCGTGTGTTTGTATCCTAGACATGCCTGGACTGATTACATTCAAACTTCACACATACATCATGCATAATATTATACATTTGTACATCAATTTGTTTCACGATCTGATTCAAGATGGCTAAATGGTGGCCGATTTTGTGCTTGAAAAATCATAAAAATCAAGCATTTATTGATGGATTTTGTTCAAACTTGGTGCATACGTTAGACATTATAGAACCTTGATGCACGTCGTTTTGTTTTTACAGATCAGATTAAAAATGACTGACTGGGGCCATATGTCATAGATGTACTGATGTATTCAAAATAAACTACTAATGGCTATTTTGTTTTAATTAATTCTGTTTCACAGCAATATCTCTCAATATGGACAAGTACTCGTTCGACGATCAGATACAAGATGATCATTTCAGTGTTGAAAAATCACCATAATCAAGCATCATCTTCTGGATCCATATCTCTGACATGTTTATGTTAACTATATTCCTATTAACAAAATTATATATCTTAAGTTTGATAACTAACAGGGACTATGTCGTCCTTGGCTTGTCGTTTTTGTTGTTGGTGCCTCAATAGTATTGAGTACAAATCATTTTATATGGGAAAGCATGCAAAATACAGGAATGGCCCTACTACAATTACTTGTATTGTGTTTTTAAAGGATGATTTTTTTAAATATCAATTTTTGCCTTGATTATAGGAAGAAATGGACATCAAAGTATTGAAATTTCAAAACAAGAAACTTGCAGATCGGTTAGAATTGCGAAAAACTGTGGAGGAAGATTTAAGAGATCGAATTCAGAGATTAGAACGGAGACAAGGAAATGATGAAGCAGTGTTATGTTTACTCAATAGATATTGGTCTCAGGTAAGAAGAAACTGTGAATTAATGTCATTTTTTGAGAGACACATTTTTTTTGTTTTGAGAAATAGTGACATTTTGTGGCTGTGAACAGTTTTTCTCATTTTGTGAAAGTCTTTGTGACCCCACTGATGCCATTATCCTAATTATTAAACATTTTACTGGTACTGTTCTCACGTTATCTGACGTTTCATTTGTCATTTAATCTGCCAGTGACATTCGCTTGGTTCATGCTACAGCTTTAACATATGCTGTGTTTTATGTGTAAGCAAAAGATTTATTATTTGTAGTACATTCAGTATTGTGAAGGGAAAAAAAAAATATTCAGTCTAATTTTTTCGAACTAATTTTGTTTCCACATAAAGTGCCATGTAGGGTGATGTTAAATTTATATACGATAAGATATTTACATACACCTAACTCCTACACCTGGTGCAGCATCCCCTTACACTTTCCTGAGCCCTTGATTAACTGATAACAAAACACTGCATTATGCCTTTGATGTGCGTCCATGAAAGACGGCGTAGTAGGTGGGTATGTAACAATATTGCTTCTACTTGAGTGTCTAGGAAAGTCCGCTTGCTGTAAGTGTACATTACTGCTACGCAGTCATCAATATACATGTAGCTGTGTTGACCCTTCCTTCAAAAGCAACTGTGCTCAAGAAGACCGAGTTGTCTGAAGGGAGACTTATATAACATACATGTAATATAATTGAGTGATATTGTTTTCAGCTTGATGAAGACATTGGTGTGCTACTCAAAAGGTTTGATGACCACAGTCAGGAGGTCACGTCAGAGACAACAGAGGAGAAATTAAATATTGAAGGAGAGTCAAACTCTGAGAAAACAGAAAATGAAATTGAGTCAAGTGCCAGTGATGAGGAAAGTAAAGACAAACTAACAAAAGGTAGGAACAGTGTTTGTTGTTGAATCAAAAAAATATTCATTTTATACATTTTCATGAAAAATCAAAATAGAAGCAAAATTGACAATTTTGAAATAAAAATAAAAAACTTTGTGTCAGCACCATATTATCCTACATGAAACACAAGGAATATGAGGGGGGAAATGTTAGTCCTTGTTGTTGACTCCATTGTAAAAATGTTTTCTTGTGGTTACAAGAATATGTCAAACATTTTTTATCCAATATCTTTCAAACTTAGATATTATATTAACAAGTTTGATTATGGTACATATACCATGTATATTTTTCAAAATATTTTCAATTAAAGTTGTCTTCTTCTTGTGGTTAAAATAACACAAACAATTTCTATCTGATCATCTTAGAATTTGGAAATTTTATCTGTCACGATGCAATGTCAATCGAGTTAAATTTTGGTGTAATGAGCAAGTGCAATTTTAAAGATATGGGGTAAAATTTGGCTGAAACTAAACATTCGTTACATGTGAAAATAAGTGCAAAGAATAACAATGCTAATAATGAGAACCAGATGGTAGTAATATGCCTCCATAATCTATGAATTAGATAAATTTAGTAAAAATTTAGGGAACTTTTTACGATTCATGGCTACTATATAAAATCATTTCTTTTCGCAGATTTTTAATTTCACTATTTTAGTGTTTTGAGCATGTCCACTGTGTTTTAATTTCACATATTTGTCAAGACAACAATGAGTTTTATTGTTATTTTACATATTCATGTAGATTTAATTTTACTTATCAGCGAAAATAGGGAAATTAAAACCCTGTGAATAATGAATTGATTTACAGTATATTGTTTAATTTGGGACAAGGAGGTTAATGTGCCTGTAGTATTTATTGAGAAACACTTTGGCTAATATTTATCTTGCCAAATTTACTTAGATATGTTACTGAACTATTGTTTTAGAAACTTTCATGCAATTACTGTGTAACACTTTTAATTTTTGCTGAAGGGCTGATTCAGTGAAATCCAGCAAATTTATTTTTTCCTATTTTACATTCAACTTTTCAAAAATTAGTGAAAATAAGTTCTATACAAAACACCCAACAAATCTTTTTTGCAAAAATTAATCCCTGCTAAAATAAAGTATTTTATAGTATCACACAATTCCAAAGTTAACATTTTTCAAACAAAAGCAAGATGGCCGATTGATCTTCATTTTTTACTAATTTCGTAATGTATTTTTCCATATTCTCGGTAGAAAATGAAGCTGTAGTATCATTTATAACGCTGTTGTCTAGTAGCGAATCTGATGAAATTGAACAGCAGTTGCAGCAGAGGTCAACTTTCTCCAAAGAATCAATAGCCAAGCTTATTAAAGTTTTTGATGATGTTCAACAAAAAAACGAACAATTATCGGTATCAATACAAAATAATGGTAAGTACTGATGAGTAACTAGGAACAGAACCAAGTTTAAAGCAGAGGGGGGTCGTCACCTGCGCATGTGCAATAATTGAGTCCCAAGCGACGATAAAACGCACACTAAAATTGCAAAGATTTATGGGTAGATGCCTGTTTGTAAACAACAATGCATGCGCAGGTGACGATTCCCCCCTTTTAATATAAATGTAAAAAAATATGTTAAGCACATTGACCGTTTTTCTAAAAATGATAAAATTTTACCTTTTCATCAACTTTTCTCTCTTGTTTGCAAATGTGTGGATACTATGGTTTATTTTATTCTCTTTCAGAATTACTAGATTCTTCAGTGAAATCAATCAATTTAGATTTGCAAACAGAAAATAAAGGCTTGCGGTCGTTAGTAACATCACTACAAGAAAAACATCATACATCTTCATTAACGGTAAGTGTCAATCATCTTCTTATACTACAAGTGTGTTCCTCCATTCCACTCTCATAGCATATAACTAGCCACAAATTTTCTGTATAACTTACCCATTCATTAGCTTTACTTTGCTGTCATAGAAGTCTATCATCTTGTTCCACTAAATACACTAAATTCTAAATCCTCATGCTTAGTTATGTAACATGTTATTTTGAAGTCTATGGTTGCGAGTAATCAACTTGAATAATTAATATTATTATTAACATCATCGCAACTATTTTGCATATACTTCAGTCTTAAGTGATAAATTAAATTTGTAGATCATGAGTTCTAAAATAGTCGCTTAGAATTAATTTTCGCTATTTTCGCTGAAGGAATGATTCCGTGAAAATAAAATCCAGCAAATATACATTTTTCCCAATATTTTACATTCTACTCATCAAAAATCATTGAAAATATATTCCACACGAAACACCCAAAAAGTCTTTTAAGCGAAAATTAATTCCAGCAAAAATAAATTATTTTACAGTAATACCAAAAGATAAAAACTGCATGGGCATGTCTGATTCTGGTGCATGACACCTCACTGCAGATAAAAGTGCAGAAAACCCTTTTACACGCCAACAATATAAACGCTATAGTGTCCATAGCTGTATTTTACTTCCCAAATAGTGGAAATTTTAGTGGCCTTTGTGGTATTAGCGTTTGAATACATTATAGCTAGACAACAAATCAATCATCCTTGCTAAGCATACTTTGTAGAGGTCTTTCATAACCTCAGAAAACAGTGATACTTGGGCATTGAAGAGTTCTCATTTGTGTTCTCTCTGTTTCAGTTTGCTGAACAAACAGATAAATTACACGCAGCAGACACCAAGTGTGCAGAGCTGATTAACCAGGTGGATAATTTACAGTATGATTTGGACAAAGCACACCAGAGAGCAGATAAGCTAGAAAATCTACTGAGTGAAGCTTTGTCAAAACTAAAAATGTACAAAGATGCAGAGAGCAGCGGCGCTGGCGGTGTTTCTGTGTCTCAGGGCAAGGTAAGCGTACGGCGTCAGTTGAGCTTGTGGTTAGGGTGTCTTTTCTGTGGCTCCACCTTCTAGCATGCTGTAATTAAAGTTTGGATTAGGTAATATTTTCTTGGTCGCATTACATTGCATTGTCACATGTGCCAATACTGCTACAGGTGTTAAGTAAATAGTGAAATACAGCACACGGTGAAATACAGCACACAGGTGAAATACAGCACACAGTGAAATACAGCACACAGTGAAATACAGCACACCGTGAAATACAGCACACAGTGAAATACAGCACACAGTGAAATACAGCACACAGTGAAATACAGCACAAGGTGGAATACAGCACACAGTGAAATACAGCACACAGTGAAATACAGCACACAGTGAAATACAGCACACAGTGAAATACAGCACACAGTGAAATACAGCACACTGTGAAATACAGCACACAGTGAAATACAGCACACAGTGAAATACAGCACACAGTGAAATACAGCACTAATACCCTCTTGTCTTAGAGTCCAGGTAGTGCAGACAAGATTGTTTGCTTGCAGTGACCAGAACATAGATCAATGTCCTTTCCATATCTTGTAGCTTGAAGAGATGAATTCTCAGTTGAATGTGCAGACAGAGCTAGCGTCTAACAGACTAGCAGAACTAGAGAAAGTACAAGACAAATATCAAGAGAGCATTAAGGAAGCAGAAAAACTCAAAATGGATGTAAGTTTTAAATTTATTTCTGTAATCCAGATTTTTCTGTTATTTTGGTTTACTGCATCTTGCTGGTATATCCAGGAATGTGTTTGAATCCCAAAGTAAATTTTTGTTACTTTTGACATATTTTTTTTCTTTTTTTTTTTACTTTTTTTTTTTCATATTTTTCATATCACCGAAAGTGATAAGGAGATTATGCCCAATGAATTTAAAAAAAAAACGATGAACTATTTTCTTGTTTCTATAGTTACAGCATATTCCTGAAGAGGTGATCATGGAGACCCCAGAGTACAAAAATCTACAGTCTCAGTTTTCAGTGCTTTATAATGAGGCTCTGCAAATGAAAGCTCAATTAGACGATACAAGGACTTTACTGCAATCAACCAAGAACTCACATCTTAGACAAGTGGAACAGATGGAGGTAAGACTGACTGTTTTTTTCACTCCGATGTAACCGATTGGGCATGCTTTTGGAGTGAAGTTGAAATGTCTCACAAGATTGTACCTGATTGGCTACACAACCCTAACACCCAGCAATCAAGCCAATCAGCAAGCAGCTTATTTGTTGACAGGTTCTTCTAACATATCAAAATATGTCTTGTATAAATGCTATGACTCAACCATGCTTTTGCTGCATTACAAAAATTCAAGAGCTCTCGTTCATTTGGTTAAAGGCATCAAATTTGTGTACATGACAACCAATACGAACTGTGTGTAAAAACAATTGACATCAATTGATTAAACAATAAATACAAAGAAATAAATTCAAGGATTTATAATTCCAACTCAAAGATGCACAAATTGCGAGGTGCTCAAAAAATCACAAGATAAACATACATATCTAGAGATACTAGATACAGCGATATACTCATTTCTGTTTTATAAACTTTTCAAACATCCATTGCATTCTGTTATGCTTGCTTTACACTCATGCAGAATGGAATCTTCTAATTGTGCATGCATATCTAAGATGCGCCAACCCTTATCCTGTAAGTCCTTGTTATTGGACATTTGATACACAGACTTGATACAGGTAGGAGTTGTTACTGACAACCATGCTTCTTCTGTGTTTTGTTTTCTAGAGTGATGAACTATCGTGTCAAAAGAAATTGAGAACCGAAGTGATACAGCTGGAAGATACCCTGGCACAAGTACGGAAAGAGTATGAAATGTTGAGGATCGAATTTGAACAGACAATAGCAGCCAATGAGCAGGCAGGTCAGTCCCAAACACGTTGTGTTTTTGTGTGTATTTGTTTGCTTTAAGGATGTTTGATACAGTCCACTGAAAACATTGACACTTTCCAATTTTAGATTCATTGACTGGTGCTGCACTATTAGGCCAAGAAAAAAAAATTCTCTGTTTCTCGTTTCATGTAAATTTTTAAATGAGGTGGCGAGGCGATTTTTTTTTTTTTTTTTTATACTGAGCTAAAATGGGGGAAATTTGAGACAAGTGTGAGTACAAGCGCATTTTGGAATGCTTTAGAAGGAAAAAAACGTCCAAGGCGCATAGTTCAAAATGATGCAAGCGGAAATGAGAGATATTTTTTTTCTCAGCCTTACGCATGTGCAGAAAAGCATAGTGTTGTACTGCTATGTTCAACCAAGCCTTGTTGAACATGAGAATCTGCAGACCCTATTCCTTTGAATGCCAAGGTCATCTTTTATCACCTTTACAAATCAAACTACGTTATTTTATTAAATATTTATTACTAATTGTGGCATAATGAACAACAAAATTGTAGAAACAGACATAAAAATGTACAAAATAATGCACCTAAATTTTAGTAGTAACAACATGGCACTCAAAGGCTTGAAAAAGGTTTTCCCCCAGAGGTACATCTGTTAGTGAATAAACTTCAATGGATTTGGCCTTTCATTAAGTATGGCATACTGGCTGCAGATTATTTCCTTTACTGTAAAATCTGTATTAGAAGCCGCAGCTTCTATTGAAATGGTATAATGCAACAGACTGGATGCGGCGGTATTATGTTTAATTTAACTCCAAGTGTCACAGATAAGTTTGAACTGCATTAAACATCCTGCTGATGTGTAGTGGTGGCTCTCTAATATTATCTCTATTCTGCGCTGTTTCTTCTCTAATGATGTTATTCATGGCATGTTCAGGGTTGTTTTGCTGGGTTAAGGCTGCTCCTTTCTCTGGGGGAACTGTAAGTTATGTGCTGTGGTTTATTCTCAGACTCAAAGCATAGTATTATTCACAACGGTACAGGTCCTATCAATCGTGAAATGCGGCACGTTATTACCAGTCTTCAGACGCATAATCAACAGTTGAAAGCTGAAGTGGTTCGGTACAAGAAGAAACTTAGAGAGGCTAATGCTGAGATACATAAGGTATGTTTGCTGCAGTTAACTTGTATTATGTGGGTTTTCATAAGAAGTAGATATGGAATGCAATTACCATAAATACATCTTGGATAATTACATAATGTCCATTGCATTAACTTATAATTCGTCAAATTTTCGTACATCAATAGGATTGAAAATTAATATATCATTCATGACAACACGTATCTGTAGTAATAAGAAATTGATGTAATCTTTGTAACATCTGTACTTCAGTTGAGAATGGAAGCAGCTGCCAATGAGAAGAGAGATGCATCACATGACAAGGAACATCCAATGGCCAGAAAAGATGCTGGAACACACCATGTAGACGATAAAAGAAATTTTAAGGAGAAAGACAAAGAGGGTGGCGACAAAGAGAAGCGAGATGAGAAAGATAAAGTTGACAAGAAAAGTTCCAATGAA